GAAGGCCTCCCATATTAGCTTGGGTTTGCTCTGTTGCTTGATTCAGAGCTTCGAAAGCATACTCCTGTTTTGTACGACCTTGCAAGGCTTTGTAAACATTGGAGCGAGCTCATGGATAGGGGAGCCGTGTTTTACTATCGCCAGATGGATGGATGTGGTAATTTCGTACTTGACTTGGGAGAACAAAGCCAGGGGGGGCACTCCCCTGACTTTTTCATGGCCTGGCGGTGGTGATTTGAACTCTGGCGATCCAGGCGCGGCCTGTGATCGGATTACTATCGCAGATTCGGAAAGCGCATATCACTGACCTTCCTTTAACGGTGCCATTACCGGCAGGACAACAACTGCTCAGGAGTGAAGCCAAGTGTAGAGCACACAAACATTGATGAATGAGCAGGTGAACAGGCCTCTCCGTTGTAAGGATTAGAGTTTCGGCATGATAAGAGGCAAAATGATGGTCGGTGCGAGTACTGAACAGCTTCTTCCACTGCGCAGTCGTGACATTTTCTAGCATCAGCGCAGAGAACCCAATACTCCTTCACTACGGAGTATACGCTAAGTTAGACGTTATGGTTTTCAGGTCCATTCCTTAGTTCACAGGGTCTTCTGCTCTCTGGGAGTCCCTGGTGTTTTCGCGTCAAAGCTGAGACGAGACGTGTTCAGAGATATTTCAGGTTAGCTGGGCAGGACGGACGCACGAAATAGCAGACATAGCATTCCTCTTCTCAGGTGCTGCCCACAGTGTTACAAGGGCCTGTCAGTGCCGTTTTTCGAAGACGCTTTTTCTGAGAGATCCCAGGTAGACTCAACACTCCTCGCAGGAGGTGAAAACCTCCGTTGTGCCAGCGGTTGAACCAGCTTTTCGGGCCAAGTTGTGGCTGTGGTATATGAAACATGTGTGTTTCTGTTGATTCATTATCGCTTCTTCTGGGTTACAAACTATTACAGTTTACCAACACTTCCTTAGTATTGACCTTGAAGACCTCCACGATCTTGAGCTTTTATGCAGGCATCACGCAACAAGTTTCAGTGCTCAACCCAACGCGTGTGGGACCTTGAGGCATTTCACGTTGATTCAACCGCTGTGTGCACAATTTCCCTTGACAGTAGAGAGCCTTGCTGTGAAACATGCCAGGGATGGGAGGGAAAGGCCTGTGCACTGACAGGGAAGCGGGGTGTCTTATACTAATTATAATAAGGAACCCCCTCCTCAAAAACCCTCTTCTTTTTATGGAGGCCCCTACATTAGCATCTCGGTGTTGGAGTCTGCTGATCTTGAGCCTATTCCCTCTTCTAGCATGTGGCAGCCTGGCCAGCTCTCTTGCAAGTTCATAAAGTGGTGCCTGAAGCCCCTGGCGGCAGCATGATGTTCTGTGGGTTTAGGGTTTAGGGTTTAGGGATTGCTAGGATGCCTTGGTTCAGAGAACTGAAACTTCCTTTGTTGAATGAACTTCGCTGCTGCTGGTGTGTCCCAGCTCTGTCCCAATCCAGGTGCACAGGAGCGAGCAGCTATGTCTTGAGGCTGCCAGCTACAAAGCAATTTGAGATAGATGTTCAACTTATTAACGATTCTGCACCATAATAAGAGATTGGCCGAAAGGAACGATTGTTGAGGAGATTTGTCAAAACTGGACTGCTGCGATAGGTTTCAATCAATCTTCCCAGTGCTTTTTTGTAGCAGCTGGAAGTCGACATCTCATGTGCAGTCTACCATAAGGGCCAAAATAAGCAGTAATGGCATACCCTCGTAATAGTCTCCATTTTAACTATATAGTATCATAGACCCCCCACACCCTTTTCTATTCATAAAGGCCCCATGTTATCCTCCTTGCACACAAGCACGCGTTGATTGATGTTTGCTGTGGCTTCAGTCTAAGGAACGATTCTGCCTACTGCTCTCTAGTCCTCGTTAAAGGAGTGGTGTTTATCAATCAGGGGATTGTACTATGTGAGACAACCCTAAACCCTAAACCCCTAAACCAGACATGAGTGAAACGGATGGTGTAACGTTTCGCTCCTGGACATTGCCTCTTGTGGACGAACCTGGTCCAAGCTCTCTTGCCAAACCGTCGTAGAGAAGGATGCTGATGCGAGCGCACCAGCAAAGCTTTCCATGCCTGAGAACCTCATAGAAGCCGTGCATGTCGCATGGGTACGGGTTGAAGGCTATAGCCAAGCACAGGGGCGGTCTCGTAACCGATTTTGGGGCTAATTTTGTCTGTTCTATTGCCAGGCAGGATAAGGCCCGTGCGACGAGCGGTATAGCCGAATTTATGGGTCTTCCAAGGCTTTGCGAAAGCTTTGCTGCCTGCAATCCCCGACATCCTTACCTGTTTGCTCCTAAAGCGGCGAGCTGCTGGTCCAGTGAGATCTTTCGCTGCACAGGTTGCCCAGCCATGCAGGGTCAACGGCTCAACCCCGTACCGTAATGTGTGTGCATTTTGATCATGCGGTTCGTCGCAGATTCCAGGTGACATGTCGTGATACATTTGTTAGAGAGTCGCACATGGCAAGTGGTTTGGTTATCACCTTTGTCCCTGGAACTGTGAGCGTGGCTGATACTTATCCCCCACCCAGCTCACGATGCAAAGAGGTCGAAATACCTACAAAGCTGGACTCCTGAGCTTGGCCTGCCAGACTTGATGCAGTGATTGACATCTCCGTCCCCGGCCAGGGTCCATGGGAAGCTCATCAGATCTCAATGCTCGTTCGGTTTCTGCATGGCATCCAGATGACTAGATGCATGTCGAAAGGTTATCAGTTGTCGCAACAAAACATGAGGGTTTCCGAGAATAGGAGACCCTAATATAATGCCCTAAATAATAGGATCCTTACTGTAAGGACCCCAAAATAAGGCATCCCTTATTTTCGGAAACTCCCACATGTCTAGCGTACACTTGTCCATCTCAACATGGTTTACATGATCCGCCCACACACTTGCAGCATGGAGACGTCGTGCCGACAGAACCGATCCGATTTCCTTGTGTTAACCTGAACAAACATTCCTTACCCTAAACTCCTAAACTCCTAAACCCTAAACCCTAAACCCTAAACCCTAAACTCCTAAACCTTGGACCTTAAACCCTGAACAAACTCGTAACCGAGACTTCTTCGGACTCTTCGGCCATGGGAGGAATTGGTTGGGACCTTTCGTTGCCAACTCGAGCAAGGCTTCCTCTTCCGAGGTACCCGTGAAAAAATCTTGGTCCTTGGTCTTCGTGGTGTCAGATTGCAGAAATGTTAAGTGCTGTATCTGTGGTTGACGATGCAGAATGCGGGGTTCTGAGGATTTACAGGCTGATTCCAGAAGCTTGCTGAGGCGCTGTGCCTCTGTAATTAATTCATGCCACGAGCATCTGGCACCCTAACCAAAAAGTTTACTGCAACGCAAACTCTTTACCTCCAGCAATCATCGAAATTCCTTTGGGAGTCCGCATGCAATCCGGGATAATACCATTTGGCCAGATGCAAGAAGATGGCAGCTTCTCAACACTGTGATCCAACTTTCGCACGGTTTCAAGTCTAGGCAAGGAGCCTGGCACGAGGAGGTTCAATGTTGAGAAGCTGTCACGAGTTTCATCGCGAACAGAAGATCTGTAGGTGAAGCTGCAATCGCTCCTCACGGGTGACATCTGGTGACCGCTGGACGTTTCCGAGATGCGTTGCACTCTCTCGTGTAGAGCGGCAAACTAGTGGTCAGGAAGGTGTTTCCTGGCACTCACAAGGCCCAGCATTCAATGGAGCACGTTTCATGAATTCGCGAGGTTGGATAGCTAGTCGCAGCGTTCGAAGTGAAGGAATCGGTGCACCAGATCGAGCCCCTGAGCTGCGGAATTTGCACAAGTGCTTGTTCGCATGTTCCCACAGAGATTGGCGCTGTTGACATTGGTGTTCGGACACTGTTGATTCTGTGATCGTGCTGTTATGCTGTTTGGAAACCTGTCGTTGGTGGTTTTTTCCAGGATCCGAACCTTTCCTTTGTGGAAAGAGAGAAAAAGACTGGCAGCAGTTGGGCAGGGCTTGCACCCGCAAATTTCGATTTGTTGGTTTTGTGTGTGTAATCACGGGCCTGGTCTCGACGGTGGAATCGGTCTCGGAGCCCAGCGATCAGCCTTGTCCCAAGTTCGCTTCAGATCTGAACTGCCTCCGGAGGTGACAACCTAAGAGAAGTGGGAATCCAGTCTCAGATAGATCGACTGACAGATTCAACGTGCACCCTACCCGATTGGAGCACAACCTTCGGATGCTTGGAATTGTGGCAAGCAGCATCCAACTGAGGTCAGCAGGGAAGCACGCACCGGTCGTTGTAGCTTCTGTCTGTTGTATCAATCATGGATGGGTTCCTTCATTCATTTACCCACTCACTTGCTCAGCCACTCACAGACTCACTCATTCACTCAGAGAGGAATGAACAAACTGAATGGGAGGGTTGGGTGTGCAGAATTGCATCGGCAGCATCATGCTATACGATACCGTATTGTACGGATGAGTCATGACGTGACGGCTTAGCTTCCAAAGGTATGGCAGGCACCAGGAATGGCATGCCTGTCAAACCTGATGAAGCGACGTTGACCAGGTCTCTTTTCTCTGTATGATGAGAGTGAAAATGGAAGATGAAAATGAAATGCAGAACTGTGGTCGTGACCCCCTGCATTCATGAGCTAGGGTAGTACAGACTCACTCACTCACTCACTCACTAAGTCACTCACTCATTCACTCACTCACTAGGTCACTCACTCCCTCGCTCTCCTCCCTAGCCTCACTCACTTGGCCACTCACACACACTCACCCACACGCACACACGCACACACACAGACACTCACTCATTCATTCATTCATTCATTCATTCATGCATGCATGCATGCAGGTTTTCGTCACAATGTTGACACGTGCAAGTTTGATCCCAAGCTTGCCCGCATGTTATAAGGCCTATTATAAGGCTTTATTTGTCCCCTTTCTTCGGCGGCATCAATGCTCGAGCAGAAACCAGAAGCCGTGCGATGCACCGCCGCAGGGAAGTTTTGGTTGAACCTGAGCCATCCACGGGTCCGGAGCCGTGGGTGCACCACGAGCCATCCTACGTCCGGGCCGAGCATTCCCGGCGCTCCGACACATCGCATGTGAACTCCGAGCCCTCGGTCCGGCCAGCGCGGTCCCGGGCGTCGAGTGCAGCGAGTGCCGATGACCTGCTGGTGGATTTGGAGCCGGAGCTTCTGAGAGGGGTGCCCCTGCATTTCTGCTTCAGGCGTCTTGGAAGAGAATGGAAGCAGGTGCTTGGGGCCGAATCGTTAAAGTGGAGGCCGCACCTGACTCGACAGACCAGCAAGTTCAAGTATTTCTTTAGCCATGATTGGGCAACATCGCGATGGTTGAAGTACTTGACTTTGTTGGTTTTCTTCAACTCCTGGCCTGCAGCATTCATTTCCCTGGCTCTGGGCCTTCTGATTGGTCTTCTGAAAGTGGTGGGAAGGCTGAGTGACCCGCAGGGGTGGGAAAACTTGGAGTCAGGGTGGTGGGTTCTTCTCCAGCATTTTGTGGCAATGCTGGTTCTCGCCTTCTGGCAGCACCTGCGCAGCTTGATCTGTGGGAGCCGACTTGCTTTCCTTGATCGTCTATGCATACCCCAGCATGATGAGGAGATCAAGAATCTGGGCTTTGGAGTACCATACTTTAATACTTTTTTGGGGACCTGTTCCTTAAAGGAACCATTATGAAATAAAAGTCTATACTTTTTTCTCCCTGTTTACTTCAAAGCTCAGGAATAGATGCATCTATGGGCTGGCTTCGTTCCTGAATCACTCCGAGAATTTGGTAGTGCTGTGGTCCCCGAAGTACTGCAGTCGGCTGTGGTGCATGTGCCTTGGACCTGTCACTGATACCCTTCCTTGTTTGGTTTTCTGTTTGAACTTAATTGCCTTCGCCTGTGCCCTTCTTGCCACAAAGGTATGAGATGGCTGCATTCCTGGTGAAAAAGAAGCAGTCGAACCGGATACACTTCCTACCCGTGCAAATGTCCGTCCTTTGGTTCCTTTGCTATGTGAATGTGGCCAGCTGTGTGCTCACGGCCAACGTGCTGCAGCGGTTGGGCCCAAAGGTTTTCGACTGGACACAGCCTGAAGGGCTGACGGGTATCATGCTGGTGGCAATCTGTCAGCTACTCGTCTCTCGTTGCCCCTTCGAGTGTAGGCAGTGGCAAGCAAAAGGGGACTACTCAGTAATTCGGTATCCTTTCCTGAAGCTTGTGGGTGCAATTTCCAAGTAGTCACCAGTACACAACCTACCCTTTGTGGTTTAGGGTTTAGGGTTTAGGTGAAGACTTGAGGATCTGGCTCGTATACCCCCTCCTCTTCTACCTGATGACAGACATGCTCCATGACATGGCCCAGTTGCCAAGGCCAGTGTCCCGAGCACAGCATGGGCTGTGGTGTGTTATGGAGAGTTGTGGGGATGGGTTGAGCAACCTTGCGACAGGCAGCTACAAAACTTCGAGCTCGAGAAGGCCCAGTGCTTCTGCTGCACGAACAATCATATCCATCCAGTCGCTTTGCAGCATTCGACTCCATGACTCACAGGTTCACATGTGAGCTGCAGAGTTCAGCTGCCGTCTGGGCAAGTTCTTCTTGACCACAGGGAGTTTCGCGGTGTGCTGTGTCTTCCAATTTGGATACTAGTTGTTCAAGGCTTGCGTCACGGATGTGATCGAATTGGTCTGGCACATTCCAGAGTAGTGAAATCAAGCGAGAGTACAGTGGAACGCGGATCCAGCAATGCAGGTAACAGGAGATCCACTAGCTTGCGACCGAGAACTCATCTACAGTGTTTTGCAGCGGTGGTCAGGTGGGGCTCGGAAACTACTCAATGGGCTGTGCATGTCAGCTGCGTGTTCCGTGTCTACAGTGCGGTTCCAGATGCCTTTTCACCAGAAAAAGTCCCTGAGGAATGCGTAATGCTGGGCTCCGGGAGTATCAGGATGAGGACTGTCATGGAGTGTCAGTGACGTAATTGCAGACGCAGTCTTTCCTTGCTTGTTGAAATGCGCCATTCCCATAGTCCCCATCAACCAGAGCTTCGTATTGCAGGCTTGCTGTAAATTTGCGCAACAGGAAGACGTGGAGGAGCTTCAAGAGGTCTTCGGCTCCCACATACAACAGCACCTCACGCCTGCTGTGGAGAAAACTTTCACCAGCAGTGCTTTCCTGATGCGCCCCTTTGTGTCCGCCGCAATTGCCGCTTTCTGTCCGTTCTTGTCCGACTTCATCTCTCATGAGTTCTTCAGGCTGTTCGAAACATCCTTCAGAGGAACTGCTATCCAGAATGCAGGATTCCCGGTGTACTTCTTTTTTGCGCCGCTATGCTTGCAACGGATCATCTTGCTAGTGGGGCAAGTTGGTGCACGGCGTTGGCAGCCGTCACGATGCAGTCGCGTTTGCGTAGTTGTATGCCAAGTGTTGGTATTTTCATGTTTTGCTTTCGCTATCGCAACAGGATTTGCAGCATTTGCTAGCGTGGGAGGCAAGAAGATCTTGGCATACAAAGGAAGGTCCATGTTACCATTCATACCAACTGGCGTGTTGATGATCTGGGGCATATACTTGCTTCGACCTGGTCAGTGGCTCCGTGCTTCAGACCTAATCGGTGGCAGCCCGAAGAGACCTCGCAAGCAGGCAGAAACCCGAAAGGACAGTGGAGTTTGTGCTTGGTTCAGTGTAGCCCAATGGCTGCCAAGTCCCATGAGCCTGCATAATATAGGACCCTTGATAATTTTTAGAATAGGGTTTGGGGGTATCTTATACTATAATTATATAAGGAGCCCCCCAAAACCCTATTCCAATTATTAAGGCCCCTACTGTATACCCCTGTCAAGGAGAGGTCGGATGGCGAGTTGGTGCCTTTTGGTGGGACCCAATCTGAAGGCTCACACTTCTCAATCTGAGGTCTCGGTATTGATCAAGATTTAAAGTGTCAGGTGGAAAATGAGCCGGTTGCGCATGTGGTTGCACATGTTTTCCGCGCTTGTGACAGCTAATGTTTTCTGCGCCAGATGCAGTACAGAGGAGAGAGATGGAAATTGAAATGGCTTGAGTCGGCATGTGTGCTTTTCAGATAGTCAATGGTCAAGAGCCTTATCTCTCACTCAAACAGCCCTGCACTGTGAGGTTTGTGGGTGCAGTACTGCGGTATGCCAATGTGCTTGCCTTCTGCTGTGCAGAGCCTCGCAAATCCAGAAATCTGGTGTCTGCGAGGTACCTATGCTTTGGAGCTACTTGTACGGTACAACCCCAGACCACCTCAGAGAGGTGTGCTTTGGTGGAGACGGACTGGTAACCAGAGGCAAGATGGTTTGCACATGTTTCTGTACATGGGGGGATAACTGCGCCTACTTTTTGGCTTGCTCTTGCGATTGGGGGCTGGGTGGGGCAGGGGGGTGGGGGGGGTGGGGGGAAACAATAACGTTCTTTGTGCCTATCGCAGTTAACTGCATCGGATGAACTTGCTCAAATGAGAAATACTCATCCCACCTGAATGGAGTGATCAACTTCGTCAGATGTGCTTATCGCAGTTGACCGCATCGGATGAACTTGCTCAGGTGAGGAATACTCATCTTGCCTGTGTGGAAAGTAGACATCTGGGAATCCTGGCAAAAGCGTCGGCAAATGCATATTGGTTGACAACGACTTTTCCATAATCGTTGACTTCGTCAGATGTGCCTATCGCTGTTAACTCCATCGGATTAGACATTTTCGCATCCATGTGAAAACATTGGCAACTTCCCATTGGTTGACAACGACTTTTCCATAATCGTTGGGAATTCTGCATCGGATCATCTTCGTCAGATGTGCCTATCGCAGTTAACCGCATCGGATGAACTTGCTCAGATGAGAAATACTCATCTTGCCTATATGGAACGTTATACGTATTTGTGCTATGTATAATTTTTTATGTATAATAACGACTCTATGTGCAAATTTAGACCTAGCATGTCAGGACATATCACACATCATGTATCGTGCCATATCACATCACATCATGTCATGTCACACGACGAGTTGTTTCAGTACATCCTCAGATCCATCCATGTTACCCTGTTTCGTGTGACAGGCGTGGTACTTTGGGTATGTTTCGTAGTAAAACTCTCACTCTACTACATACCGCATCGAAGCCAGCAGTATTCTGGCGACTAAGGGCTTGCAACTGAGTCAGTTGCAGGGCCCTAGGAACTATAATGCCCGACCAGCGTTGCCAAAACCTCAGTTTTTAGCATTGCCCTGTGCATCGAAAAGTCAACAAATACAAAAGCTTGCTTAATGTGGCAGGCGCGGTAGATTCGACTTTAGGGGCTTTATTGTTTGGTGGTCTTGTTGTGGGGGAGTTCACGTGTGGGGCTGGGGGTTTAGGGTTTAGGGCCTAGGCTTGGGGCTTGGGCTTCAGGACCAGGGGTTTGGGGTTAAGTGACTCGGTTTGCGATTGCCCAGCACAGGGCGGAACGCTTTCACCCGCAACACCTGATGATCAAGAGACTCTACGTCCTGGAAAGGACCCGCGGGGCCGGAGCCCTGGAATTGGGGTGTTGGGGTTCGAAGCTATTGCAGGGTTCATGGCCTTTTCTCGGACTCCCTGACAATGGAAACAAATTGCGACAACCCCCTCGTTGGGATCCAAACATGGAGACAACATTGCCTTTCAGGACGTGGGTTCAAGATTTGATGTTATGGACGATTTGCACAGATTTGGAACCGCCAGAAATGCGCAATTCATTGACTTGGGCCAGCGCTTGGCACAAATTTGTGCGACACTGGCCAAAAACATGCCATGTATCTGGTGCGGCACTTTTTTGAAGCACACACTGAGAAGTTTTCGCGCACTCACGGATGTGTTGTTACATTACTGTCAAGTGTTGTTCGGCTGCAGTGTACATGGAGCCGATAACGAAAGTGCTAGGACACAACGTGTCGTCGCACTTATGAGATGAAGGTTTTGTGCCAGGTACCGAAGGAATGGCATTCGAAAACGAAATGAACTGATCCGTCAGGGGTCAAGTTTCTGCGCGTTGCTACGTCAGACACAAAGGAATGACGTAGCACGAAATAAAGTTGAAGGATGAACGAACATGAGTGCCCCACCAGCTGCCCACGACGGGGCCCAGGCACAGTCAATGCAGGCACGTTTACGTAGTGCAGGGGAAAGCTTCGTTGGACGGAGCTNNCCCCTGCACCCCCTCCGTCCCCCTGCTGACATGATACTGAAAAACAAGCTGCCAGCAGAAGGGTTGTGAACCCCTTGTTTCATGTACTAGAGAAGTGCACACACTCACTCACTCACACGCTCAACNNACGAGTCTTGCCCGAAATTAAAAGCCCTCTGAGAACGGCCATAAGCCGCGAGAAACGCGCTACAGCGCGAGCACAGGCCACAGGCCATAACAGCTGAACACACCATATGGATAGCCCATACAGCGCCAGCACATGGCACGCCTGCCGCTTCGCAAACGTGACAGTTTGTACACTACTTAGCTTCACCTACGTCCGGTAGTGCCATTGTTCTCATCAAGGAACTGCAGCTGGCGTTCAAGGTCGCCTGCTGGAGCCATTCGTGGCAACTCTCGCACGTCCTTGGCGCGCTTCAAGTCCTCTTTGATGATCCCCCACACCTCGTCGGACGGAGACTGGTCCACGACATTGATCTCCAGACGCCTGAGCTCCGCTTTGAAGTTCTTCTGAACGCGGGCGTACTTGACCTCGGCGTGCACGGCCTTCCACCCCAGCTCCTGGTACTTGCCCGCGTACTCCATGAGAGCCACCAGCACACTCTGAAGCGTAGGATCCTGATTAGCCTTCTGTCGACCTTCCAAGCTTCGCATTGTTACGCCCAGTAGAGTGTTCCATACATGGTGTGAGGCAGTCCTAGCTGCTCTTCCTTGACATTGCGGCTTCTGCAAACGCCTTCGTGGCTTTTCATGGCCTCCTGTTGGAACTTGATGCACCTTGAGCAGAATGCTCCTCAAAGCCCTCAGTTGCAGCGCGTTTGACAACGATAACTTGGCCAGTGGCCAAGAGCTTTTTTGTCTCTCCTTCCGGGTTTGCTGCAGGCCTAATTCCATCGCTGTCAGCAAGCAAGCGTGCAGGGAAGGTGAGTCCCGACGAGTACTCAATACTGTGCTGAAGATTAGGAAAATGACTGCGAACATGCCAATGATAAGCAGAGTGGTCAGCACAAGCCGTCTCGCATAGGGGACAGCAAACATCAAAGCAAGGAGCAACCCCAATCTGGAGCAAGGCCCTATCAGCAGGACAATACCCCTGAGCAGTGCAAACCTCAGGTGGTTTTTTGCAGATGCGATGCTGCTGAAAACGGATGAGCACATCGGACACTGGTTGGTGACCACTAGGGCAGCAGCATGCAGCTGACTTCCGTGCTCGCCGTCCTGAGCAAACCTCTGATGTGCATGTAGCGCCTTGATGGTAGGGAACCACTTCTCGAACCCATCCGCAGTGTTGGCATCAACGCAAGGTATACTGGAGGCGGCATCGGCACGGACAAAGCTCTGGCTCTGAGCTCTGTGACGTCAATGAAGCAAAAGTCTTCATTCAGCTCATCGTCCCATAGTAACCGTTCCGGATTGCTCAAAATCTCATCAAGGCAATATCTTGATGCCTCAAGTGTAGCGACTTTTTGGACATCACGACAAAGCTGCCCACTGCCAGGTGCCGTTCTCCAGTTTCAAACGGCAAACGTCCAAACATACGGTAAAAAACTGTGTAGGGAAGGCTGAGACCAACGAAGCCTTGCAATTGCGAGCTCCGTACCAACATCTGCCACAAGATTTGTGGCGAATGAGTCCATCTTGCTCACGAAGTTTGCTTGTATATGCCACGCCATTGAGCCAGACAGTAGTGTTTGAACAACGACACATCTGAAGACCAACAGCTTAAATCTCATGTCAACGTTCCTGTACCAGAAGCCCTCCACCTCAATCAACCCAGTGCCCACCCACCCACCCACCCACCCACCCACCCACCCGCCCACCACCCAGAACAGTTGAAGTAAAACACAAGCCCCAAAACGAGGCCACACTTTTTCGTCACTCTGAGCCTTTACGTCCGGTGGTCACAAGCTTGTCAAAGCTTCGCAAGTAAGCAAAAGCAAAGGGGTTTCAGGTTTCCGGAAAACGTTGTTACCCCCTTTGATTTATAGCTTGCGATTGCAGCTATCAATCACACCAACGTTTGAGATCGCTATGATCCCAAAGCACAACGTACCTAAGTACAAAAGGGCGCTGCTCCACAGCACTACCGAAAAATTCTTGGCTAGTCCAATGGTCCTCGGATGAAGACCAAAACAACAAACTCGAATCAGTAACATATGCACAACAGACATGTTTGACATGTGTGTGCTGGTGCTTTAAACTCTACCCTCAACGTGGACTCATCCACTCTGCAACTGCTCAGGTTGCACATTCACCAAATCACAAAAGTCGCAAACTACTCTCACGACACATGGACTTCAAAAGCTCAGTGATTCAGTGATTGCGGGCACGACGGCGGCGTGCAGTAGCATACTCCTTCATCGCATTGGCAATGGATGACAAACACCTTTGACACGGTTCATAACCATCCATAAGAGCATCTCTCACCGACATGTTGCCAACGACTTTGGCATCCTTCTTGACAGAACTACAGCTGGGTAGATGGAAAGCGTAGCCGAACCTTGATGCCACCAGAACCCGCTGATCAGCATAGCCGAGGTCGTTAGCACGGCGCGTGCGGTACGCGCGAAGATCCAACTCATCACGATGTGGATCGTTGGAGCCGCGAGGTCCATCACCATGACGATGTAGTTGATAGCCTGCTCGATGTGGTAGTTCCCGTTCGTTTCCGTGATGTAGATCGTCATCGCCCGCACAATGTAGTCCTCCGCGTTGATGTCCACGTTGATGTGAAACTCGTTCGCCTGCTTGAAGTAGTAGTTCTCGTTCGTCTCCGTCATGTCGCCGGTCGCCGCGATGTTGTATAGATCACCTTGACGTCGTAGTGCGCGTAGGGCTTCTCCAGCATGTAGATCATCATCTTCTGCTTGATGTGGTTGTTCGCGATGTAGTTGTCCACTGCCTTCTTGATGTAGAGGATCGCGCCGATGTAGATGTAGAGGATCTCGCTGACGTGGAAGATCGCGCCGATGTAGAAGATCTCGCTGATGTCCGCGCCGATGTAGAAGATCTCGCTGATGTCCGCGTTGATGTTGAAGACCTCGTTGATGTCCGCGTTGATGTTGATGTCCCCCTTCAGCTTGTCCTTGATCGCTTACGTGGCGGTGCATCCAACAGACCCGCTCGATGATGTGCCACCCAAGCCATGTACCGATTTGCCAAATCATCCCGAAGAAGATTAGAAGCATAACCGTCCACGACCAAACCCGGAACAACGCCTCGTCTGACCAGCTCACCGTAAAAACCGCGTTCATGTTCCACAATCCTTTCTGCGCTCCATCCGTTGTGACCTGTGGCTGTGGATCCTCGAATGCTTTTTGGGTCTTTGAGGAGCTGCGCGTGTTGCTCTTTGAGGAGTGTTCCCAAGTAGTTCTTGGGCGTCGCCGAGATTCTGGATTCGTTGCTAACGTTCCGTTTGGATTGGGGCTTAGCTCGGCTGGCTGCTTCATCGTCTGAATCCAAGGCTTGTTCAAGCTGTCCTGATTTCCTAAGGAGTGTGAATTGTGTGCCGGGGCTGGGCCCGGCATGAGCACGTACAGAATCACCGCCAGGAACACCAACATGATCGCCAGTACCAAGAGGAAGAGCTTCACCACGTTCGTTAAGTGGCCATGCACGTACGAACCGGAACATGTGCTACTGGTACTCACCGACTCACCAAGCGTGGCTAGCACAACGAAGAGTAGCTGCCGAATGCTTTGGGTGTAATGCTTGCTCTGGCACTTCTTCACCCGCTTCAACTCATGCTTTGCAATCTCATCCTCAAACTCGCTCTTACCCACAAGCTCTCCGTCTCTCACAACGCCAAGCATGAATGACAACATCCGCATGCGTTGCTGATTCATCGACTTCGTCAACAAATCTGGAGGGCAAAACTTTGTGTTCACAGCCGACGTGGAAAACTCACCATTTTTGCAACGTTCTTGCACAAGTACGAAAGGTCTATGTGGCGCATTCTGGGCTCGAAATCACCGCTCGGCAACTTGAGGAATCGACTTTGTGCAAAAGCTCAACATGCTCTTCGCAAAGGTGTTCAAGAACTCGCTTCAAGAAGATGCAGTCTTGCACTGCAGCCAATGATCCATGAAGTTCTGCTTCACAGCTGCTGAGTGTGATACACTTCTGTCTTCGCTTGCATGCATGCACAAGGTTCCCGTTCAAAGAAATGCACATGGCGCTGATGGGCCCAAGAAGCATCGCTGATCGCTTCAATCACATGTCCGCTACCGAACAAACTGTCCTTGGGCTTTGACTTGGAATCCAAACCCAAACACCGCTGCTGCACAGTCCTGCCTGGATTGCACGGAGTAAGGAGAATGCCTTGATTGGGATGCGCCTTCAAGTACTTCACCAAGTGCCGCAGAAGGCTCCACTCGTGTTCAGTGGGGCACGTGTTGATTGCGTACAAACACTCCGGGCGGTCTTGACCTAAATAAAGTAGCACTCCCACAGCTGTCCGATAACCTAAATAAAGTAGCACTCCCACAGCTGTCCGATACATGCCATGACGTGCCTCGTCCAATGGTGTTTCATCCTTCACGTCATTCGGGTTCAAGCGGCACGGAGTGGACTTGCCAGCAGCGCGCTGGACTCCCACAAGCTCAACCAGCTTATCAATGTGTTTTCCCGATGGGCTCACCAGAATCCCTTCACCCATGCCAGTGAACCTGCGCTTCAAGAAATGACACTCTCCCCCTTCAACAGTGCACGGACCTTCTATGGAAAAGTTCAACCCGGCTTCCTTCATCTTGCTCTTCTCTCAAGGTCATCTACATGCGATGATACCCCAATCGACTTCGGCTGAATGAACAAAGCTGGTGCAGCTTTGAAACTCTCCATCTCATCATCCCGCATCACTCCAGCCAACTTGTCGTAGAAGTCGCGAGCGCCAGCCCTTTGGCCAGGCAGGTTGTAGAGCAACTGAAAGCACAAGTCGCCAAGCCGAATGAATGTTGGTCTCCGCTGACACTGTGAGATATGCGTCTTTCATGTCACCCGTGTATAGACGAAGTTTGGGACAAGCGCAAATGCGAACAGCTTCTGAAGACAAGACAGCGATGCAGCGGCATACAAATGTTCCATGGTGGGATCGATGAAGCGAAACTCCTTAGCGACGAGACGCGAGCGCCTCACCCATGTCCACTTCGTCCCCGCCTCGTTGGCACGAAAGCGCCAATCTCGAACGAATTTGCTCTGGAGGTTCATCATGCTACTCATGTCATCGCTACCGTTCAACTGCTTCAGCTACCTTATCCATGGCCTCATCCAGTATTCGAAGCTTGTCTTCAGGAAGTTGTGGAGGTCCATCTTCGTATCTTCGACCATTCCATTCCTTAGCAAAGTCGTGATCCGGTTGGGCTTCACCAGCCCACTCTTCCACTCGCCAATCTACTTCAAGACCAGCTTCAAAGGGATCACTTTCGGCTTCGGCTTCGAGAAAACCCTCATGATCATCATGTCCCGTGGGCATCTCTTCTTCCAATCCTACTCTATTCACTCCCCCCGGGACTGCAGCACGCAACTCTGACGACTGATCACTTGACATGGCATCCGAACGGCTCTCACCTTGAAGGCTCATGTGCTTACCGCGCCAGCGCCAGCTCCACACGGCGTTGATGGCGGATCTGATGCAGCTTCACCCAGGTCCTTCCGCGAGTGTTGGGAGTTGAACTGCTACAGGAATGCGACACCGTCTCAGAGGAAGTGCTTCCTAGTCGCACGGTACTCCTTTCATGGTCTCGAGGGCTTCTACGTCAAACCGTTTGGGAGAAAGCCGAAGACTTCGGGCTGGATGTACACCTCGAGCATCTGCAATATAGTTCAAGTCACCCAATGTCGAACGACCTAACCAACCACACACACGGCTTCCAACTCTCACCCTTGTTCTTGGACTTGGGAAGGAGCAAACGGCATCAACTTCGAGTTGTATTTGCGGCCGTGCACAATCTCGAATGCACTGCAGCCGTCCTTCTGAACTTTGAAGCGTGTGTGCAAGAAAGCAGCATGCCTATAGCACCAAGCGAACAATGGATCACTGCTCATGGTCTTGTGGCCTGTGCGTTGTTCAATTGTTTGAAGAAGACAATTCCCCAGTGATCTCACAATTCCAATGTAGCGCTCAGCTTGGGATGCACCGTGATTTCCGGGATCAGGGGCCACCGGCTCCTCTTCTGTCGCCTGTCCGGCCCTAGGACGAGTGGCAACCACATAGGATATAGGATGCCAGTTGTTTCATCGCCGGTTCTGTATCATACTCACGAGTGAGCAACGGATCATCATAGTTATTCTCCCTGCTTCGCGAAGCCAAGCATGCTTCACACCAATCTGCACGCGGAATGTGTGAAGCAAAACCAAATCACACTGGGTCGCTCTGCAAGAGATGGAACAAGTGGCTCACGTGCATACTCAGCTTTCACTGCTTCTGATTCTTCAACGCTCACTTTAAGCTTGGCCAACTTCTTGGAGACCGTTGATGACGGGAGGGCTTCTTGTTCATGGGGTCCAAGCATGGGGCCTTCTCATACTTCCGCCCTTCTCGCCAAAAAAGAGTACTGCGATGGGACCACTCCCCGCACGTACCGGAAATTGACTTGCCGAACTCTCTCCCTAAACCTTAAACCCTGAGTTCGTAAATTCTCTTTAAGACTCTAAGACCAAACCAAACCTTTTCGCGCTAACCCCAGGCTAAGCATGGCTCTACAGACAAATATCAGTTGGATGACTCGTGGGCTTCGGGCGGCGGCCAG